CATATTTTTTAATTCATTTCACTTTCTAATTTATAATGGATTTTCCTTGATTTCTGATGGAAGCCATTGTAAATGTAGACTTAAAAAGGTTTAAAAATGTTTTTTTTATTACATTTGTAATGCTTGTGCAATCAAATCATAATAGGTTTTAAGGCTTCGATTGAAACACTACATTTTAATTGTCAGGCAACTAAATAAGAATAGATTAAATGAATACTGTACATTGTTTCATGTGGTCTTTCAGTGTTAAACATTTTGACTCCCAATATTTTACTATTTAATATTTAGTTTGCTAAAATGTTTCTTTTTTATTATTTACAACAATTAAATAGCTTTTTTCTAATTGGCAGTGTAGAGTCTTAGTGTTAAATAATGTAACCTACCTTCTGCATTTCAGTGGCTCTGGTGTGGTTGACAAAGTGAGATTTGCCTCAGTCCAACCACTGTGGAGAGAAAAGATCCCTCCAATTATAATGTCTCCATCCTTCGATAACTGCGGATATTCAGCTTTTGCCTGTAGTCTGCACTTGGGTTTTTCTGCTTCTGTTAAAAGTCCCATCAGAGCTATTTGTAGGAACAGCATTGCAAATTTAAGCTCCCTATCAGCATTGCAAATTTAAGCTCCCTATCAAATACCAAACATTTGAATCAACTGTCTTTTATAGAATTCTGGGTTTTGCAGATGTTCAGACTGAAGGAAGTCGTCATTTTATTTTTATCAAAGACTTTATTCTCGGAGGTAAACAGAAGATGTCACAGGGACTCAGGTGCTCAGCTGGTCTGAGCCACTGTGAATATGGCTTATTTAGTACTCACTTTCAGAACAGTGTGCTATCAGTGTGCTCATGCTTACATACAGTGTGCTACAGTAATCTTAGCATTTAGATTCCACCAGGACCATTCTACAATCATGTTTAGCACAGTAACTTAGTTTCATGACCTGTTGTTTTTTGTTATTTTGTTAGGACAAAAATGCTCTTAATAAATAATTCACAAAGCTCAGAAATTAGATCTTGAAACTTAAAAATATATGAAAAGCAATGTGCAATTTTTTAACAGCTTTAATAATTGAGCAATCTTTCCATCCTGCTCTAGGCTTTTACATGTATTTTAACCCAGGATAAAGATGCGACCACATTCACTTACTCTAGCCATTGTCAGCCTGTGTCCAATAGGTGAGGTAACCTCTGCACACAAAACAAGGCTTGTAAATTCTTAACCTGGGACAAAACATTTTACCCTGGTTTTGAAAATTTAATTTCAGTTCAGCCGGTTTCATCTTGGCCTGGATGGAAATCATGTGTTAGAGTCACCAGAAAACAACTTGCTGCTGGATATTGCTACACTGACCTCTTACTTCTGCTTCTGTTTCATTACAGTATATCCAAAATATTCTGTAATAGCACAAAATAAATGCATTTGACCCAGGGATGGATCTAACCTCTACCTTGTAGAGCACAGAAAATACAAATGCTAGCAGAGATAGAGAGATAGAGATAGATACTTTATTGATCCCGTGAGGGAAA